CCCCAAAACCCCAAAACCCCAAAACCCCAAAACCCCAAAACCCCAAAACCCCATGATATATTTCAGGATTGAAACCAGCACATAACCAAAGAGTTTCAGCTAATCTTTATCTTTCTTAACCAATTGATTGCATTCGGACCTCTTTGGATTTCTTGCTACCTGACAGTATCAAGCCTCTGGTCTTCCTCTGAGAGAATATGCTGGTGACTTTCTTATCAAGCTCTCCTGTGATCTTCCTTTGAGTTTTAAGCTTTTCATATAAGTCAAATTTAAATTGCTTGTTGAGTTTTTGAACATCTTCCAGCTCTGAATGAAGCTGGGAGACATACCCCTCTACCCTTTTCAGCCATTTTTGAATTTCAACCATTTTTGAATGAAGGTCTTCAGTATCTGTTTTACCTAGAGCTGAGACTTTGACTTCAAGATTTCCAAATCTTTCGAGAAGGATTTCAACCTTTTTGTTAAGATCCAGGACGAATTCTGGGTTACTGGAGTCTGTCTCATATTGAGGTTGTGAGCCTTCATTTGAATTTACTAGAGTTTAGACTTTTCTGAAAATACCGCTTCTTAGTGAACCTTCATATCTTCCTGGAGGTGATCTGACTATATAATTTATCACACTTAATAGTTGTGGTGAATTGTAAACCCCAAGAACCAAGAGGAGATCTAAAATATCTTACGATTTCTTCCGACAAAGGACCCATTTGATTGTCTCTCTAAAATCTCAAAGTGCATCTTACCTCCATCTGAATCGAAATTTCCTGTTAATTTTTGTTGGGCTTTCATCTTATAATTCAGATCTTTGACAAGATAAGGATTCAGGTTTGCACTGAGGTTATTTACCTCCACTTTCTAAGAGGTAACAAACAGAATTCCTTACTATCATTGATCATAGTGGAGTACTGCACAAGAAGCTCCTGTTTTCTCTTCTGGCGGCTATCCTTGTGGGTCTTAATGGTATCTATGTTCCTATACCTCCTTGTGGCCTTCTTTGAGAGTTGTGGGCTTGGTGCTTTAGCCATTTTAGCAATAAGTTCCTCCTTCTTCTGGATGAGGTTGCCAATACCTTCATCTTCGAGGATTACTTTATGAGTTGCCTTGAATACCTTCTCTTCGTATTCCTTCAATTTCTGAATGAATTTAGGAGGCATTATATTTCTGAAGGCTTCTAGTATAGCATTATGAGTATTTATCGGCACATATTTGTCAGTGTAGTTCTCGATAGTCAGGATACTATGCAGGCGTGAAATTAAGCTTACTTATTACTAAATTCTTCATGCTCCTTCTTGCTCTGGTCAAGCTCGACTAGAGATTAGAGAAGTAAGTTACATTGGATCTTCTCTCTGAAACTATCAAATTCTTCCTTAGGCTGGTAAAGTTCTTCCTTGCTCGAGAATTCCTAGGCGTTAGGCTGGATAGATTACTGTCCATTTCTGAAGAGATTTATGGTGTAAATTCTCATGATTTTCTTTTAACTTTTCAATAAGGATGTTATGGTACTCAATCCTGGTGTTGTTTTTCAGTGACATCGCATCAGTTGTATTCTGTTTCTCGTATAAAGCTTCAATTAGAGTGACTAATTTGTTTGTTGAATTCTTGATATCTATAATTTAGAAGCAAGAAAAACCTAAATTCAGCTGGGACTGAACATCCTTTATATGCTTCTCAATTTCATGAAAATCATTTAAAATTAGCAGATGCTTGTTGCGAAGATCTTCAGCTGATTTGATGAACTTTTTAATCTGGTCGTTATTTTCTTCAATGCTGTCTTTCCGAGCTTGGACTTCAAACTGTTGGAGCTCTTTAAGCTTTGTAATTTCAGCATTAGTTTCACTGATCTTATCATAAATTTCTTCAAACACATCTTTTCTCTCTCTACCTGAATTGGGCTGATTAAAGACAACTCTGTGGATATCTTTAACCTTGTTATCAAATTCATTTATTTTATTTACGAATGATTTCCATGTCTTTCCTATCATCATGGGCTTTATTCATGATGGGTTCTAACAAATCTCTGATCTAAAAATCATCCTAATGAATACCATTTTCCTGACATTGGTTTCTAATGTGAAGACATCCATTTTGTCACCATCCAGGATACGATCTTTCAAGGCTTCTTCTTTTTCCATATTGAAGTATTTTTTATAAAATACAGGGGTTTTGGGGTTTTGGGGTTTTGGGGTTTTGGGG